TAATGTGGGTGTACTGACAGACGCAAATTAATTTTTTTTAGTTTTTCCACAATAAGAAGCCAAAGATAGGTAAACCTGTGTTCAGTAATCAATGTTTCATTATTTTATATTATTTGGAAATGATAAAGATATTCAGTGACTAGCCATCATTTTATTTTTTATTTTTATTTTTCAATTACAGTCGTTATTCAGTAATTTATATTAGCTACTCCACCATCTTGACTGGAAGCTCTACCCTTCTTTTATCATTTAATTTAGCTAGCAAAACTCTAAAGTCTCAAGTTACCAAAGAGATTTAGGAAACCATTTCTAAGTACACATAAAATACAATTATTGCTAAAGAATACCCCTAATAAAAACCTTTTTATCCTACTTAAATTTATTTTACTTGCTCTTAACAATTATGTTTAGATTCCTTACAAAAATTTAATTATACTGAGTTTTCTTGCTGAAAAATTTCGTAACAGAGATAAGGACTTATTTTTTTAACCCATTTCTCGTTTAGAAGGAAAATACAGCTCACTGCCAGTGTTAATTTAATTTTACATAAACACACTCTTTGAGGCTGAAGCAAATCTGACTGGTTTTCAGTGTAAAATTAAAATATAAAAACTGTTCTTAGAGTTATTTCTAAACAGAACTGTATCATCCCTAATTTGCTTCTTTCTCTGGGTATATAGTTTTATTTTAGCATAAGGGAAAAGGCCTTAAAAAAAAAAATCCTATTAGGCTTTAAATCTTCAGCTTCCAGTTTTGCCAAATTTCTGATCCAAAAGTTATTTGAAGTTAAATCTTTTCATATATCTTGTCAGGTTTCATCTAAGACAAAAAGTAAACCTTTCTGGCAGTATCGAACCATTCCATGGACTCAAGAGGGTACAAGGGCTGTTACCTTTCAGAGTCATCCCCTCTGGTAGCCAGCACATCTCATGGAGCAGAGAGCCATGCCAAGCCAAGGCAGTGGCTATCCCTGGGAGTGAAAAGGATCAGTAACCAGTTGGTCTGGATTGGAGAAGGAAAGGACACCATGAAATTTTATTTCTGTCCCTCAGGAGGTAAACCACTTTAAAAACTTCTGAGGATCCTCCCTGGGTTTAAGAAATTCTCTAATTATGGCCCTTATATTGACCTTAAAACAAGGAATGAAAGATATCTGAAGACAGTTGCCTTAAGGATAACATCATTCTTATAGTCTCCTGTTTTGGGTACCCTTTATCTCTTTAATTTTTCATTACCCTTTTGCTTCACATCTTTCAATGAAGCTATTTTTAAAAACTTTTTCAACTTACATTACTAACTTTAGCCTCCATTAGGACTTTATCAACACATTGTGGTTTTACAGTACTGGGTAGGAGAATTGTTCCCAGCCAGACATAATAACCATTCCCATAAAAGATTCAAGCAAAGTTGGCATAACTTCTTTACATAAAGCCAGTTTTAACATTCTAATTTTCATAATCTTATCAATCCTTACATTTCTGTATTCTTTTAATCTAATTGTAGCCCAAGTCAGGGCTTCACTAATGGGTTTTGGTACCACAGTTCATGGAATTCTCATTTCAAGGAGTCCTGGAAATTTCTCTTTTCTATCCTCTGACCATTTTCCCCCACTCTTCTATAAAAAGGCTTTGGGTCCCTAGCAAGGGGTCAAGGCAAAGACTCTGGTCCTTTTGTCAATTTTTAACTTGATTAACCAGCCTGGCTGTTGCCCCAGGCAAATTGTTGGTCAGGTTTCTCCTAATATCTGCCTTCCATCTTTTAAAATTTCTCCAAACTGGGGTAACTAGAGCAGACTTCTTTGGGACCCTTTAATGTTGGGGGACCATTAGGGGGTTAATATGGCCCATTGGGCCTTTGGTAGTGTTTTAGTAAAATCTTTGTTTTAACCCATCAATTTCCATTTTGTTTTATTTCTCCCATTTTTTTTAATGGCTATCTAAAGCTTTCCATCCTATTAGGACGAGTTTTATGACTCTGCTTTCTGTTTTCTCTTTTTTTCACCCTTGTCAGTATTTTAAAATAAGTGTCTTGTTCTGTTTGATTTGGAAGCCCTTGCTGTTAAGTGTACTTTTGAACGATCTAACTGGAACATTCCTCATAATAGCCACTGTAATTTTAGATTATAATTTCCTTGAGGGCCAGCAGCAGTTTGGTGGGACCCCAGCTATAAAAATAAAGTTCGGCCCACATTTCTGTCTGGCCATGTTTTGAAGCGTCCAACCTCACAATTAACCAAGTCGAGTTCTTAGGATATAAACTTTTTAGGTTGTCTTTTAGTAAGATTTTGACATCTTTTTTATTTCATTTTCTTTTTAAGTGCAGGACAATTTTACTTTTAATGTCCTGAACTTTTTTTTTTTTTTAATAAATATATATCTGCAAGTGTCTGAAGGCAAATAGGAAGAGGTCTGTGTGGACTTTGATTTTTGTTCTAATTTCTGTCCTTCCATCTCATTAAGGTAGTCTTAATGACTAGCCATTATAGCAATGAGAGCTCTGTAAAAACATTTTTCTTGCTTTAAGTTAGAAGTTTTTTTCAAATCAAAGAAAGGATCCATTGTCTGACCTCGATGAGTAAGATCTTAATAGGAACTCAAACCAATAAGAACTATGGATGCAAGAAGCATCCCCAGAAATGGCTGCAAAAAGTTGCAACCCTCACAAGATAAAGTTCACTCCCAGAGTTAGAAACAGCCATTCCAAAACAGAGGAATCATATGTTTTCTCCCCTTTTAAATGGGTGTTTAGATTCCCTAAGCTCAGATCCATAGCCTACTCTGCTGCCTATAAAATGAATATGCATCCTCTGACTGGTGGCAAATGAGAACGAGGGGCCCCATTTTTACTATCTCTGGCAAAAATGACTGAAGACAAAACTCCCTTGAGAGCTTGGCACAGCGAGACAGAGCAAGGTGCGCCCTGGCAAGTACACTCTCTGGATGTGGAGGCCAGAGGAAAAAAACCTCTCCTGACATATAACAAGATGAAAGGAGAGACATCAGAGACAGAAAAACAATTCACAAAACCCATGAGTACTTGTACCAAATTACCAAGAGTGGCTAAGCCAACGAAACTAGTTTTACGAGTATTTTCTCTTAATCTAAATTAGAAAAGGGAAAGAAAACATTTATCACTCTGCTCCCACCTACCTCTGCAGATGGAGATCCGGAGTGTGCCCTGCTAGAATGCTTGCTTTTGCCGGCTCGTGCTAGAGGCCCCAGGGGCTTTCTACTAAGCAGTCTCAGGGTGAGCAGTGCCCAGCTGGCGAGGTGTCCTGCTCACAGTGCCAGCTCCGGGGGAGGAAGAAACTCTCCTCCACCCTCAAGGTTCTGTTGTCTGGTCTAATAATTAAGTCTACACGAGACTGATTAACAAGAGAATACCAAATTAATTGTATACATACATATGGGAACCCCACGTACATGAGAGATTCAGAGACAGAAAGGGAAAATGAGGTCAATATGGCTTTCTGCGCTAAGGGTGAAGTAAGGGCCTTGGGGCTTCAGAAGGGAGGAGGGTCACTACAGGATGAGAAGAGCAGGTGTTAGTAATTAGATGTTTTGCCCTGCTATACAGATGGGCCATAAAATTATTTCTCATGATAACTCTTTTGGGCAAGGCCACAAATATAAATTCTTCAAGTAAGAGGTAAAAGTTTCTCAAGAGCTGCAAGGTCTCAGTTGCCTTCAGCTCAAAATAATTCATATACCAAAGTGACACATCTTGGGAAGGTATAATTGAACAAATTGATAGTGTTATCAGGGTCTTACTTGGAATGTCGTATTTCTGAATGATGCTCATGTAATCAACTATGATAAGACACTTCTCATGGAACTAAGGTTGACTTTATGGAGCCTTCCAAGCCCTCCTGGGAAAACTGACCTGACTCCTAGTTACAGGGTACCAGCCCTATAGGTGGCAAGGAAGGTCACTTCCTGGCATGTCCGAGAATTTAAGATATCTGGGGGACTGGAATAAGAGAGGCGAGAAACTGAATATACAAATGGACAATGGCAGGATGATATATAAAAATAGAACTTTAACCCATAACTTGCAGCAACCTGCATAGGAAACCACCCGCCTTATCTATGATAACCAGCCCAGGAAGCTAGCCTGCTATATACATCAGGCTTGCAGGAATTCAAACTACTATCTTTGGTGGCAATCCAGGAAGCTAAAAATAATATCTGTAACAATCAGCTCCAAATGGCCAGGACTTGGTTCCCTATAACTAACAGCTTCTCTTTTTTTTTGTCCCTGCTTCCAATTTAGGACCACCCAGAGAAAGTCAGACATGCACCCCTAACCAGTCACATAGGGTTCTCTGCTCCTCGTCAGCCACCTTTAGCTCCCTCAGTCCACCAGCCTACTGAAGCCCCTTTCACCGATGCAAAGCTTTCTCACTCCTTTGCCTGCCTTTGAGTCTCTTCTGAATGCAAGTGTCTGAACAAGTAGCTTTAGTTCCCATTTGGTTGGGCTTCCATTATTTTCACAGAGAAATTCATTCACATTTATAGGAACTACAAGTGGATCCTGGTACAATTGCTTAGATTTGGTTTCCTATCCTCAGGATAGCAAATAATAGACATGCTTAAGGTCCAGTCTGAGATCCCTTAGGAAAATTTCCAGCAGAAGTTGATTTTGTGGCCTTGGTAGTTTTTCAATATTGCATGGCTCTGAATTTGCAAAAGAAACATAAGGAGGCCTAGGCGATAATTAACACTTGCTGCACAGATACGAACGACCTTGCCAATCTAATGAGACCAGCCTGTTTTTTTCTGTCAAAGAATAATCTTTGAGATTATTATCATAGGCAAGAAAACTGTCAGGAAAAATTGTGAAAGCTTTTAAAATGCGCCTCTCCGCCCCTCCTCCCCTCAAATAGCTGGATGTTCTGACTAGAGCACCCTTTTTAGTTCTCTTTGCTTTTCATTGTCTTTGAGCTATTTTACATCTCTAAGTTGCAGAAAACTGATTATAATGCAATGATTTGTCTGCAGATCTGCCAGTGAATTCTGCTTAGTTGACCTCCTTGTGGATATTGATGTTTGTAAATTCACTTCAGCTTTCATGTTGCCCAGCAGGTATGGGTCTTTGATTCCTTTGAATGGTTTTAACACCTTACTGTTTCCCCTATTAAATATTGAATTAAATAAAATGTTTAACATGTATTCATTTAATTAGGGGGGGAAACCACCTTTTCCAAATCCATTATTTTTCTGAGGAGTACACACTGTGGACCAAGCCTTAATGAATCCGGAGGCTTCACTGTAATTACATGACAAACTGTCATTCAAGGGTCTTAAGATTTGCAACTTAGGCAGTACTACCAGGCAACACTCACAGTGTTCTGAAGAAATGAGAAAAGTTGAGTATTCTTATAGTAAAAAGAACATCCTTGGGAAGAATCAGTCCTGTATTCTTAATTTCTGGATTTGTCCAAGATGGCGATCTTCCAGATGTCATGAACATTCTTTCTTAAGTTCTTCAGAGGATTGTCTATAGTATCAATACATGTCCAGGCATCGATACATAACTGAAAAGTTCAAAAGTTTAAGTCCTCAGGCTAGTTAAATAAAGGTGACGATGTGCTTCCTGCTGGCACTGACGACTGTATCCATATACGAATTCCACAGAGAATTTCCCTTCTGTCCCTTGTCACAAGTTTCACACTTTACAGCTTGTATAATGTAACTATTTGGGGTCTGCTTTTAACTTGGGCTAGTGTTAACTCCTTCATGCAATAAACTGAAAAGAGCCATGCTGTCTAGTCTTGAAGTCCCTTGACAAAGGTCAAGCAGTAGGTGCCTGGCCGTGACCAGCCTGAAACAAAGCAATAAAGTGATGTTTCGGCCAAACGCAGAGCCCCAAGATCACAGACAGCTATGTCTATCCAGGAGCTCCTCCGCTCTCCCTCTACAGAGTTCCTGGCCCTAGGAGAACATCACACCACCTGACCAGCCTTCCCTGAATCCGGGAGAAGAGACTGGGGTAAGGCAGTAGTGGCAGCTGCACCACTAGAGAGAGCCTTTGGTGTCAGAGATCCCTTGGTGTCTCTAACCTGTCCATAGCTGCCTAGCGCGGCCATCTTCCCTCTAGTGGGGGAAAAGGACATCTGGCTTGCCACCAAGGTCTGTTTGACCAGACATGTCCTAGCTAGTTGTTGTCCAAACACCGCAGTGTGAGGCCAGCCTTCTATCAGAGTTAAAGTTTTGACAGAGAACAAATTTCAAATTGATGTTTAAGTCATGCCGCTAGCTGTAGAGCTTACAACGTACTAGCAACAGCTGCTCAGTGCCATATGAAGTAACAAGCTGGTTTTTGATTTGTTTTTTTCCCCTTCAGTTTTAATGTTAGGGAACATATTTAAGCCCTTATTTAAATCAAACTTGTTTTCAGACACAAAAAAAAATCTGTCCCTCATGTTTTGGCCCATTATGATTCAGCTAATTTTGTTAGCTTGGCTGTGGTGACTCCATTT